TATATATATATATATGGGTTGATCTAATTAATTGTATATTTGATATCATTATAGTAAAATTTCATTTAATTAAATAATTTTAATAATTACACTCTTTTCAGCAGTATATATGAAATTTAATATTACTGTGTTGTTTAGGCACATTGAAGTTACCACTGTACCAAATCATCATTTTGTATTTACTATAAAACGACATCATGATATACTTAGAGGATCTGTGGGATTTAGCTTACCTCAAAGAAAATGGGCTACTTCTTTCCCTTAATCAAGAAATTGAAGTCCGACCATATCATTTTAATCCTACTTCAAGTACAGAATGTTTATGTACTATTGTATTGGAAGCTGATTTCTTACAAAAAAAATCGTATGTACATTGTGTAAAAAATTCAAAGAAAATAGTATTGCCTATAAAATTTACAATATATTGTATTTTAGAACTACTTTGGAACCATATAATACTGATGAAATGGCTAAGGATTTTCTGTTACAATTTTCGGGGCAGGCATTCACCGTGGGTCAACAACTGGTGTTTCAGTTCAAAGATAAGAAAATGCTTGGTCTTGTAGTTAAAAGTTTAGAAGCTGCGGATCTTTCTGCTATAAGTTCTGGACAGAATACAGTGCCCAAAAAGACTCAAATGGGCCGTTGTTTAGGCGATACTGTTATACAATTTGAAAAAGCAGAGAATTCAAGTTTAAATCTTGTTGGTAAAGCAAAAGGAAAAGTCGTTCGACAATCGATCATTAATCCAGATTGGGATTTTCAAAAAATGGGAATTGGTGGACTGGATAAAGAATTTAGTGCTATTTTCCGAAGAGCATTCGCATCTCGAGTTTTTCCACCAGAAATTGTTACTCAATTGGGTTGTAAGCATGTTAAAGGAATTTTACTTTATGGTCCACCAGGTACAGGTAAAACATTAATGGCACGGCAAATAGGAACTATGTTAAATGCTAGAGAACCTAAAATTGTCAATGGCCCTCAAATTTTGGACAAATATGTTGGAGAAAGTGAAGCTAATATTAGAAGATTATTTGCTGATGCTGAAGAGGAGGAGAAAAGAGTATAAAGATATTTTTAATCTTAAAAGAGTATAAAGATATTTTATAAAAATATCATTACTATATTCAAAATAAATAAATTTTTATTTTTAGCTTGGGCCAAATAGTGGATTACATATAATTATTTTTGATGAAATTGATGCTATTTGTAAGTCTCGAGGTAGTGTTGCCGGAAATACAGGAGTTCACGATACTGTCGTGAATCAGTTGCTCGCAAAAATTGATGGTGTGGAACAATTAAATAATATTCTTGTTATTGGTATGACTAACAGAAGAGATATGATTGACGAAGCTTTGTTACGACCTGGTAGATTAGAGGTATCCTTTTTATTAATATTAGTTATCATTTAGAAATATTATTTAAAATATTATTTAATTAAATATAATATGTATATTTAAAGGTACAAATGGAAATTAGTTTACCTGATGAACATGGGAGATTTCAAATTCTTAATATTCATACATCGCGAATGAGAGATTATAAAAAAGTATCGTCTGATGTTGATTTAAAAGAATTAGCAACACTGACTAAAAATTTCAGCGGTGCAGAATTGGAAGGTTTAGTGAGAGCTGCACAAAGTACTGCTATGAATCGACTGATCAAAGCTTCTAGTAAAGTTGAAGTAGATCCTGCAGCAATGGAAAAACTTATGGTTTCAAGAACCGATTTCCTTCATGCTTTAGAAAATGATGTTAAACCAGTAAGTGATATTAATAAAATTCAATTGTTATTAATAAAGATCTACAAATATATGCTATACAATGTTATAAGCAAAGTTCTACAATAATTGGACCTATATATAATAAATCCTTACATCATAGGCATTTGGTACAAGTGCAGAAGCATTAGATCATTTACTTATACGTGGAATTATTAACTGGGGCAAACCAGTAGCAGAGATTCTATCTGATGGTAATTTATATATTCAAGAAGCACGTTCCACTGAAGGTTCTGGTCTTGTATCAGTTTTGTTAGAAGGACCACCAAATAGTGGAAAAACGGCTCTTGCTGCTCAAATAGCTAAGAATTCCGATTTTCCATTTGTTAAAGTATGTACACCAGAAGATATGGTTGGTTTCACAGAATCTGCAAAGTGTCTTTCAATTCGAAAGGTAGATATAAAATTAATATTGTTTAATTATAGTATAATTAATATATAATTTAATATATATATTTTTGTTTTTAGATATTCGACGATGCATATCGTTCACAACTTAGTTGCATTTTAGTTGACAATATTGAGCGTTTGTTAGATTATGGACCGATTGGTCCACGATATTCTAACTTAACCCTACAAGCATTATTAGTTTTATTAAAGAAACAACCACCACGTGGTCGTAAATTATTAATACTCTGTACTACCAGTCGCAGGTAAAATATTTAATATTATTGTAATGGTACCTTAAGATACTTATGTAGATTTTTATCAATGTAATTATTGTATTTTTTATAGACAAGTTTTGGATGACATGGAAATGTTGTCAGCATTTAGTACAACTCTCCACGTACCAAACTTATCAACTCCTGATCATTTATTAAGTGTTTTGGAGGAAGTTGATTTATTTAGTAAAGATGAAATGGCATATTTGCATGCCAAACTTCAGGGAAAACGGTATGCTTTTATTATAAATTAACAATACCGATTTCTATTTAAATACATGGATATCAAATATATGATTTGTATGTTTTTCTTTCAGAGTATTTATTGGTATAAAAAAGTTGCTATGTTTAATAGACATGGCACGTCAAGTAGAACCAAATTATAGAGTTCCAAAATTCCTTTCAAAACTAGAGGAAGAAGGTGGACTGGAATAATAAGTATTTAAAGTTGTAATTATTTGTGTAGAAATGAATTAGATACCGTTTACGGAGTAATATATAATACGTACATAACAGATTTGCATTTATATATATATATATATATATTAAATTTATATCAGTTGAAAAAATCAGATGCAATTGTTATGAAGTACATGTGTATCAAACAAATACTTAGGTAAAATTTGTGAATTAATTTTAAATATTATACATATACTTAAAAATTGCATTTCCTATCATTTTTTAAAATTAACTCTGGCAAACATACGATATTTATAATTTCTTTAATCATATTTGTTTCATTTTTTTGCTTGCTAATAAATTATTTAAAGTTGTAAGGTACTTTTACTAATTTAAAAAATGTAAAATATAAAATGTAAAAAAGAGAAGACATAATAGCAAAAAAGAGAAAATTTTTGTTAGATAGTAAGAAAATTAAATGTTTGCAAAAACTTAAAATATAAATTTAAAATAATTAATTTCCTATGATAACTTCGAAAATTTTATTTATATTCGATACAATAGTTGTATATGAAATAGATATTGTTATTATATCTTATTATATCTATATAGAAATGAAATTTATTTCTGTAAAATGGAGAAAAATGCTTCCTTTAGTTTTAATATGTTACTATATTCTATGGTAAAATAGATTTATTCCATATTAATAACGTTTTTTCTAACAATTATTAAAGCAATAAATGCAATTATTCATTTATTAGCAAAATTTATTACATGTTCTGTAGACATGTATTTTTATGCCTCCATTTGTACGTAATGTATATCCAAACACTGTGTTTATTACTGTTTCACAGTTGGCTGTTATTCTTGTTGTAAATGTGTGTATGTATTTTATGATTACTGTTCATTAGAACCTACAGATTGATGCCTCTTAGGAGTAAAACCATTCCAAATACAATATGCGCAAATATTTATTTCGTTAGCAATTTTTTTAAGAAATATATGAAAAAATAGAATATTTTGTGTATTTTCTATTGATTGAGGATAAATTGACATGTAAATGTGTAATTACTCTGCATATTAAAAATAAGTAACTTATTTTGCGTAAGTTGTTTAAAGATTTGTTTTATGACTATTTATGCTATCTATATACTGTGTATGTACTATAGTTTCCTGATTTGATGTATGTATATACAGTTAAAGTACCTATGAGAAAATCTGTATATCAATATTAAATTTCTTGTAATGCTTGATAAATGCTGTAAAATGAATTATATCTTTATGTTTATGATAACTATGTATGTGTTAATATATTAATAAATTTATGACTATATACAATATGTGTATAAAAGTTAAATAAAATCTATTAAAGTGGAATGATAACAATAATTATTTTCTGCTTATCTTTATCTAAATTACTAATATATATGTTGAAAATGAAGTATAATAACAATGTTGCTCACTTGACATTACTGTTATTTTGTTTCCACAGATTTTACACAAATGCGACTATATTACAATTTAAAATTACAAACTAATTACATTAATATGTATACTTCTGTGTAATAACTTTTAGCTTTTATACAGATGAATTTTGAATATACAGTATCTTATAATAACGCAATTCAATTTTTTTTTGTAATCTTTCATTTTACTGTGCGTGTATCATGTTTTATTATTGCAGTATAAACTTACAAACTTTGAATTAATAATTGAAATTATGATTATATCTATTATTTAATTCAAATTATTTACCATTATAGAAATATTTAAAGATATGTTAAATGACCAAAAATAATAAATTGTATTTGGCCTAAAAAATATTTTAAATATTTTAAATTTTATTATAATGTAATAATTGCACAAATTTAGGAAATTTAATTATGTAAATTTTAATGTTTTTCTTACTTCTTAAATCAAAATTTTCTATTAAATTTTAGCAAAAAATTTACAATTGAAGTAATAAAATATCATATTATTTAATGATATATGTGTGAAAAGAATATTAGGGAACATAATGTACTACTGGTATATAAAAATAGTGCACATATATTTTATATATATATGTTTTTTCTTGTTAAATCTACTATCAGTTTTGTTAACTTTAATTTGTATATTTCTAAATGTGAAAAATATGAGTAATTAATTAAAGTTAATCAACAGAGCAGTATACAAACTTGCTTGTTATCAGTAAAAGTCCCTTATTTCATCAAAAGTTATTATCATACATTTCTTATTTAATATCCTGTATGTTTTTGCAAAATAACATATACAATAAATTTTACAGTAAAAAAATTTTTAAACAGAAAAGCAAGATTGGATTATCACATAAATTTGATATAAACTCCTACTTATCATGCTCACTCTTTACATAACTAAATATAATTATAATTTTTTGTTGTTTATAATATGTACAATCACAAAAAATATAACTATTCATCATGTGCTTTCAGTACTTGGCAGTATTTAGGCACCTTAATTCCATCAAGGAAAGAACATTTTATATTCATATTTTTTGTAACATCAAATTCTCATGGTAAGTGATATTGTAACATTTCATTATGATTTTGTTTGTATATAAATTGCGTAGACGAAATAAGGATATTTGAAATAACATCAATATCGGTATCATTAATTTTAGCCTATTTTAAAAAGAATATATCTTATTCCTGTAATAAAACTTCTATTACTATTTCTTTTGTGAAATAAATAATTCTGCCATGGAAGCGTATTAGATACAATACATCTATACCCCGAACTGGTCGTATGTCTTTTAACTAGTACATTTCCAATTCATACTTGAAACATATATGTATGCAATATGTTGCTATACAAAGATTTAATACACGCCAAATTTATCACACCCAATTGATGATACTTGATGTAATATTAAAGCACAAATATGAAATATTTAGTATGAAATTTAAAGGTAGACATATAAATCAATATTTATCCTTAATGATACTCAAGTACGCTTTGATAAAATCTATTGTAAGTATATGTGAAACAATCCTCAATATTCTTGTATTATAGAAAAATTGATGTTTGTTTTGTATTAAGTTATGATACAAGAATGCGTTAAGTGTGTTCAAGTCATCTCACGATGATAATACTATAATATATACGCAGTCTACAAACACAGATCATATTTTCTAAATAACAATTATATATAAAATATTTTTAACATGTACATATATCGGAGAAAAGTTTCAATATCAATTTAAAACAATGTTTGTGACATATGTTTGATATTAATTAGCACTAAGCATTTTCTTATGCTTATATAATCTTATTCTCCATTATAACATCAATCATAAATTTTTTATATTACAAATAGTTTGTTAATGCATTATATAAACAAATTTGTTTAAGAAAACAAAGTTTCTGCTTTCTACTGAAAGAATAAGAACAATATAAACTCTAATAACGTCAAAGTTAGTAAAAAAGAACCCACTCATATATCTTTCAAAGTAATATTTTGTTTAAAATTTTTGATAATACAAATTACTTAATAAGATGATAATTAAGAAAATAATGTTAAAAATAATTTTATAGTTTTCTGTGTTGCTTTTCAAATTTTTTTATCGCCTATGTTAATAAAAAGGGAAAGAAAAAAAAGTTATACAAAAAAATGTTTAACAACAGATACCCTTAATAATTGTAACTTCATTATGGCACATGAAAGAAAATCACTTTATTTGAATATTGAGTCATTAACCTCATAATTAATAGATCATAATGAATTATCTACTATGACTATTTAATATTAATATCACAAATGTTTACATTTAATGTTTTTGAATTAGTTCAAATTTTATACTCAATTCGAGCTGTAGCTGGATAGTTTCATCCTAGCACATTTCAAAATTTATTAAATTTTCAGTCATCCCCACTATAGAGAAACTTTGCATCTGACATAGTCAGAAAAATATATAATAAAAAAATAAGCACGACAATGAGTCAAATCACGATGGCTTACAAGATGGAAATTTTTTAACATTAATACATGAAATTGGTTTGCGCCACCTTCGTTTACTTTGATGTGAATTTGGTTTGTTGTGACTATTCCAAGTAGTTTTTTGGTCTTCACTGATTTTATCCATTTCTTGAAGCCGTTTTTCTTCTGGACAAAGAAACGAATTTATTTAGTGCCTGCTCATGAATATATATTATGAGGATTAATTTAAATTTAATTTTTTTTATATAAATAATATAATAACTATAGTTAATCATGCAATATACAAAACGAAATTGTTTTTGCAATAATTATAATATTACTACACACAATTTAAAATACGCATGACACATTGCAAAAGCTAATACAGAAGGCTATTCCAAAACATTGTTGAGTTAAAGATTTCAATCCCATAATTAATTTATGTGTAACTTTATATATTACAAAATGCATAAGGGCAAAACCGGGTATACACTATATAGAGAGTACCCATTTTTGTCAGCTCACAACATCATAGGTAGATATAAGCGTGTCATTGTTACAGAATGGTGCATGTCTTTGATAAGAATACTAGCAGTCGATTTGAAAAAGATTGTTCAGTATTCCGTTTAGAATCTGAAAAGCAAAAGCTGTATTTTATTGAAATGTTTAAATACTTTCTTTATAATTATAATTTGTACAAATTTATTTTCTTATCAATATTTTTTTTAATAATGAATATGAAAAAGGTAGAGATATTTTGACATTTAATAATATTTATATTGTTATTAATTTAAAATGATCTATGAAAATTATGCAACAGGTTTTCTCATCTACAAATAAATACATATGAATACTATTCTAATTTTATCAGTTATAAAACGTTTTCATTGAGTAAAATTAATAATTTCATTACAACATAATATAATTAACAAACCATTGTGCAAATGCCATTTGTCAGCTACAATATATTAAGTCACAAATGTATCAATATATGACTCTTATACTTTTTTAATTGGTGGTTTCATGCATGCAGATTTTTAACATATTTATCTTACCTTTTTGTTAGTTGTGAATGCACTAATATTATGAATATAACTAA